TTTGATTAGACCAACTAAATATTTGGAAATACGATTGTTCTTTGAGTGCTTTGCAAGCTTTTTTTGCCCTCTTGAGGCATATGGTGACTCATTCTTTTCCTGAATGAAGCCTGAATTTTTTTCTGTTCAACTAGTACAGCATTTATCAAAAAGGTTATCTAAATAACTTCTTCCTATTACAGACCTGACAGGTGCTCAGGATGGTAGTGTGAGAATGTTTGAATGGGGCCATGCACAACAAATTACATGTTTCCGCTCTGGTGGCAATTCAAGGGTAACACGGATGAGATTTAATCATCAGGGAAATAAGGTAATGTACAAAATTACTCTGTACTCACCTTATGCATTATCATTTGGTAGTCCCTGTGTTCCCCCTGTAAATCCAGAAGAGATCTTCTGTGTTGGTTTGCTGTTTATAATTATAACAATATTATAGTGTTGTGAATGGGATAGCATGACTCTTTTGAAAGGCTTTCCTTCTCTGCTGAATATTTGCTTTTCAGACATTTAAAAAATGAATGCCAACAGCATAGCTGAAGTGTAAGTTAAAACAGATTTTTTGAAACCCTTTGCTTGTAGAGAACTAGAACTTTTTGGCGGGAACAGTATCTACTTGAAAATTCAAACTAGTAAAACTAAATGCAAGTTTTATGTACCAGTGTATATTTGGAAGTAGGTACTCGTGTATTAAGAATATCAGACTATTTAAAATACCTGTAGTTGGACACTACTGTTCCAAACCAGTGTTCTTGGAGGGTGGCTGATTTAGTAATAGCCTTCATTAAATCTAAGAATAGTTAAAAAAAAAAACAAAAACAAAAAAACAAAAAAACAAAAAAAAACCTCCCCAAAAAACAAAAAAACAACCCCATCTCCCCCAAACAAAACAAACAAAAAACCCCTGCTAAATACCAGAAGGCATCAAAACATCCATTTTCCTTAAGTTTTAGCCGTTCCTTCTCCACTGTAATGCCCAGCTGTAGAACTAATATGTACATTGAAATTTCACTGTTCCTAGGACTGTAGTACAGTAAGCTGATAAATTGCTTTGAAGCCATATGGTATTGGGAAGTGGTCTTGGAGCAGTTACTTTCCAGAATTAGATTAGGCACACAGTAATTAGTGCGTTAGGAGAAATGAAATTGGTGGTAATATAATTTATCTTTTATCTTAAATGTAATAACATACAAAGTTTTATGTATTGATAAAATTGGGTATAAATTTCTCTCCTCAGTTTGGGATTGTTGATGCTGATGGATATATAAGTTTATACCAGACAAACTGGAAGTGTTGTCCACATACTGGAATCACCCCCAAACCATATCTGGTAAGCTATAAAATAAATATAGTTCTATAAACTTGCTTTGTACTGTCTTGTTTGTTTGCTTGTTACTTCAGAATAGTTAAAATCTACTAGGATTCTTTAGTAGTTTAAAACCCTACCGCTAGCTTGTCTTTGAAATTTAAATAATAATTGCTATTACCATAATATCTACAAACTGCACTTGAAAGATAATTAATTTTCCTATGTCTTAATTAGGAGAGAGGAAGAAAGATATTAGATGTAAAATATTTAGCCACTTTAAGTGCTTTGCAAAGGGAGTGTGATGGGAGAAAGCAAACATTTTTATTTGCAGTTTTTACTAAATTTTGGGAAGGAATTTAAAGTCAGTTTACAATCATTGGAATAAACATAGTGCATCTTGAGCTTTACATTCTTTAACTTTGCTGATTTGAATACAACAGGTAGTGTATATTCTTTTTATCCAGGTGCCATGTTAATACTACAACAGTCTTTGTGGCATACTTACTAACTGTGTACTGTAATTTTTTCAGACATGGCAGTGTCATAACAAAACCGCCAATGATTTTGTTTTCATCAGTTCCTCTTCTTTGATAGCCACAGCTGGACAGTCTACTGACAACAGGTAAAAACTCACTTAACTAAACTTGAATGATGAGCACACACCGAGTAGTATTTATTTTATGCTTCCCTGTAGGATATTGTTTGGGATCCAGGTTATCTTCTTGTGAAAATAAAATGTCTGCAGTTGAGGTTGTCAGTACCAGCTGACAGAAGTCAAAGCAGCACTTTAGTGACTAATCAGCAGGGATCCTGGTTTTCAGTTTCCCACGGAAAAACAGAAAACCACGGATTTTACCATTTTATCAGAGAAAATGTGGATTTTTCCTTTAAGAAGAGAAACCCCCGGATTTCCCCCTTTTTGCAAAGAGCTCTGTAGGCTTGCTGAATTCCAGCCTGCAAGAGCTGTTTAGAAAAGGGGTGGGAAATCCCCAACCCTGCCCAGAGGGGGAAGGGAGGGGCCCAATGCTCACACTTACTGGAGACTGCTTCAGGTTCACTCTTCTTGCTGGAGGTAAGTGGGGCTTGGGGGTTGTGGGGCAGGGTTGTGGGGGGAAGCTGAATGAGAGAGCAGTGGAGGTTTGCAGCCAGCCAGGCATTTCAGCTGGGAGGAGGGAGGGTAGGGTTTGCAGCCTCCCCACTCCTGGCCAGAGTGCCCAGCCAGCCGCAAACCCATTTCCTGCCCCCACCCCTTCCCCCCTGCCACACACACGCATGCACACACTTCCTCAGCCCCATCCAGATTGGGCACTCTGGCCAGGAGTGAGGGTTTGCAGCTGACAGGGCACTCCAGCCAGGAGCAGAGAAGCTGCAACCCCACCTACTGCCCTCCCAGCTGGAGTGCCCAGCCGGCTGCAAACGCTGGGAGCAGGGGCTGTGGGTGGGAGGCAAGGGCTGGGGAACTGTAGTGGGGCAGGGGAAGTGAAGGACACCAACAGGGCTGTGTGGGCCATTTAATTTTAACCACAGATTTTGGGATTTTTATCACAGTTTGCAATTTTGCAGTTTCTATCAGAGAATTTGTGGGTTTTTTTTTTTTTTTTTATCACGGAAAACCAGGATCCCTGCCAATCAGTTAATCTTTGTACGAGCCATGTTAAACCAATTAGTTTGTAAGGTGCCACCCTGCACTGCCTTTTGCCTGACTTCAGACTAACACCTCTAACTTTCTCTCATTACCAGCTGGGGATATGATGGTATCAGAGTGAAACCCTGCCTATGTCCCTTCTCCCCAGTATAAATCATTTTTTATAAGATTAAAATCTTTTGTGTCCATGGCTATACCCTCCCAAATGTTGAAACAAGGTTTGAAACAAGCCCAGCAGAAGCATGCAGTTAGTTAACATGAATCATGCACAAGAACAAAGATGCAGTGCAATGTTTATGTATTTGAACTGTGTATGTATGTTGTGTATGTTTATGTATTTAATGAATATTTATGCATGAAGTGCCAAATGGGTGATTATTTACTTGGAATCTTCCCTTTCACCCTTACGCATGTAATTCTTTACATTAGGCATGTTAAACAGATGCGAGAATTGCTTCGTAAGAGTAATTTGGGCTTTATCAACCTTAACATTAACTTTTCAGCTTTATACTGAATTTAAGTAGAATTAAATGCGTATAAGCTGAGCAACCTCAAGTGTGTAAAAATAAATAATTCTGTCTGACTTCTGAGTCGAGTGAAATAATACATTCTCTTTTACCCCTTTTACAGAAATACATGTTTGTGGGATACGTTGGTTGGTCCTGCAAATAGTTTAGTGCACGGTAAGCAAAAACACTATAACAAAATTAATCAGTTACAGTAAGAAAGGATCATTTAAAAATTTTAAGATGTTTCTGAATTGTTTTTCTTATAAGTTGAAGAAATCACATGGATGGCATCAGTTATAAATATATTTGTAAAGTGTCTTTTACCTTAGCCTTTCTCCATACTACCTTGGAAATTTATTTATTTTAAAAATTGGATTAGATGTTTAGCTGATGTAAATAATAGCTTCATTGACTTCAGTGGAGCTATTTCAGTTTACATCATTTGAGGATCTGCCCCTCTGCAGGTACAATTTACGTTACACCTTGCCAGTGGAGAGTATCCATCTGCAATACCCTTCTTTTATTTTAAAATAGATCGAGCAACTCCCTACTTGTGTATAATATAGCTACTGAAGTAAAGGCTGCATGGTATGCCACACTTGGGCTAGGGACAGACATTCAAAAAGCCTGAGCTTAAATTGATTCAATCTTTGCAGGTTAGTCTAATCTGCAGAGATTGAACCGATTTGCAAGTGGATAGCCATTCCCTTTTCAATCTGGAAATGCAGGTACATGCCTGCAGTGGCTCAGGCCAGAACCCCGGAGGTGCTAAAGCAGTCCTTCCTTCTCTTCCACAGGGAAGTTGAGCTAGCAGGGTGGGGAGGAGGGCATGGCCAGGGCCCTGGCAGCCCTGAGTATGACTGAGAATGGGTTTAAATCCCTACCTTGGCCTGCAGGGTTGGCCAGATGGGGGCATGACTAGACCTCCGTGGCAGCGGGGGGGAGGAGGATGAGGAGGGGGAGAGCTCTGTCTGCCACAGCAGCTCCCTGACAGCTGGGAGCAACCTGAGCACACAGCTCCACTGCACAGCCCCAGAGGGGAACTCTTTCTCCCCACTGTCCCCCCCATTTCTCCTCCCTCTCCCCCACTGCCATGGGGCAGGGAGGGGAGGTTCCATGCAGTGCTTCCTGGCCCCAGAGGGGGATTTTCCCCTTCATGTCTGTCCCCCACCCACCACTGCAGGGTGGGGAGGGAGGCTCCAGTGATGTGCTTCCTGGCCCAGCTCATCCTGAGTGCGGGGAAGTGCCTGTCACTGAGTTGCAGCCACTGAGGATGGTTCTGCCTGTGCAAGCCCTGCTCAGCCCCACCTAAGGCAACTGCATGGCTGGGCAGGCTCACAGGGTCAGGGCCCTCCCCAGCGGCTACAGTTCAGTGATGGGGAAGTTGAGCCCTCTCAGTGAGAGCAGCCTGGCCTGGTGTGCATGGGTGGTGGCTGGCCAGGAAGTGGGCTACCTGGGCCGGCTCAGAGATGCCGCAGGGGCTCATGGGTCCACAGCAAGCCCCTGTGGCAGGTGGCTGCTGGGCTCCGAGCCTGTTGCAACCTCCAAGCTGGCCTGGGTTGCATGCCACCCAGCCATCCACCACCCGTGTGTACTGAGCCAGGCAGCTCTCACTGACAGGGCTTAGCTTCCTTGTCACTGAGCTGCAGCCCACTGGGGAGAGCCCCACCTCTGTGGTTCAAGCCAGCTCCACTGTGTGGCTGCCTTGGCCCAGGTGCAGTGGGGCCGGCCTGGGCTGCAGGGGCAGGGCCATCCCCAGTGGCTGTGGCTCAGCGACAGCTGCGGCCAGGCTGGGCAGCCACCACACAGAGGCTCCCTCCCCATCCTACAGCAGCCTGGGGCAGAGGGGGAGGAAGAGGAAGGGGAAGAGTCCTCCTCCAGCACCACACAGAACCCCCCTCCCCACCCGCAGTGGCAGGTGACAGGGGATGAGGGAGTCTGCTCCCCCAGTGGCAAGGGGGGAATTAACCCCTTCGCTTCCCCCTTAGCCTTAATGGAGCCATGTTAGAATGGCTGCAGTCCCTGCCGGTGAGATGAGGGAGGGAGGAAGAAGATAAACCCCTCCCTCCTGGTCACCTTGACAGAGGCTGCTGCTGCTCCCCATCCCCTTGCTGCTCCAGCGCTAGGGGCGTGGCCAGACGCTGTCCCAGCATGGCCCTGTTAAGGCGAAGGGAGCAGGGTGGGGTGTAATTCCTCCCTCCATCCCTTCTGCCCTTGGCCACAGCCGAGGTCCTGGCCATCCCCTCTGCCTCCACCACTTGCCCGCAGACAGTCAGACCCCAGCTGTGGCGGGGTGGGGAAGGGGAAGGAGGGAAAAATGAATTCCCTCCTTGCCCAATTTGCCTTAACTGGGGCCATGCCGGGACATGTCTGGCTACATCCCTGACCCTGCTCAAGCTAGAGAGCAGGGGGGGTGGGTCCAGCCCTGCTTTCTGGAGCAGAGAGCACAGCCCAGTCCAGGGCTGCAGAGCATGCTGGGATGCTGGAGGACTCTGGCTTAACTTAAATTAGGAAGAGGTCTGGGGACAGAAGTTCCATAAACTGGTTTGTGCCAAATTAGTTAAGTTGGATATTAAATTCAACCAGGTTTATCCTAAACTTGTTTTGGTCAATTTAAAACTGGTTTCTGTGCACTGAATGTTTTGTTCTGTTACAGGTTTAAATCAGTTTCTGATCACTTAAACCGATTTATGTGCAACTTCTGTCCCTAGCCTTAGGGTATAGACAGATGTAGCAATTGATGTTGAAAGATACAGCTATACGTTGATATGGTGTGTCTAGTATATCTGCATGACTCTGTAGCCATGCAAGTGCAGTACAAATGCTCCACACTCCAACTTTGACCTTGTTACATTAAGGCTGCTTGCAGATGTTAAGAAACGAAACAAAACGGTGTCTTAAACTCAGAGTGTTCCCACACTGAGTTCAGCACATGCCCAGAAGAGGCAGCGCCTTAGTTGGACCTGACTTGCCCAACATTTGTATAGATCAGGAGCTTTAATGGGGTTTTTTTGGCACTTTTATCTAATAGCTGATTTACTGGGCTTTAGATAAAAGTGCCAAAAAGCCCCACTGAAGCACCCAATCTATTATAGATGCCACGGAGTCGGCTCAAAGTAATGTGCTGCTCCATCCAGTAAAGTGCAGGGGACGGCGTTGTTTTGTTTTTGTTTTGTTTTGTGTTTTTTGTCTGCAAGAAGCCTTAGGGTTACAGTTAGGGTGTTTTTTTGGGAACTTGCATTCCCCAGGATCATGCCAGGGTAGTAGTCACAGTATAATAGCTGATGCAGGCTACTGAACAGCAATCCCTCCTCCCCCTTTAAAACAGTTAAAATGCACCTGTTACATTTGTCTATACCCTTACTTAGGAATCTGGTGGCTTTACTCTTAATTAACTTAAACATAATGAATTTGAATAATTGTACCCTTACTAGAAGGTTACCTCCTTTTTAAGCAGTTGATTAAAAAGCACTTGGTTAAGTAATCCATTAGCTAAGACAGTGGAATCCTTTTAATTTTAAATAACTGTCAGTTACTTTAAAATATTTGTTGTTGTGGGTGTCCAACTAAACACCCGAGTACATGATCCTTGCTATTAGATCAAGTCTCTAGGGCTGGTCTGTGCTGGAAGATTACATCTTAGGGTCTGGCTACACAACCAAATGCAAGTGTCATTGCAACATGCACAAATACATATGCTAGTTCTGATCTAGCATGGATACCTGTAGCAGTAAAGATATGGTGCACTAGTTTCAGCATTAGCTATCAGCAAGAGTATGAGCTATTCAAATCCAGTGCTTCCCATCTTTTGTTGGTGTCAATCATTTTAGCTAGCTTAAATTATTGTTCGTTTTGCCATAGATGATACAATTCATAAAGCTGCTGATCCCTATATCTGTTGCTGTTGTACATTTATTTGGCTTTATAAATGCTTTAATTCTGAGGTATCACAAAAGTGTCTTTTACTGTGATAATTTTCTACGGCACATGGTTAGTCTATGTAGTGATACAGAAATAGTGTTATAAGGTTCTACATATCTGTTTCTACATCAGATTTGCCAACTGTGCACATATATACATTAATCTTCAATGTGGTACTTAATTTAGCATTAGCTTTTTGTACCGTTTCATCCCACACTTAATATTCTGAAAGACACCTATCTCCTTCTCTTGTTGCTTTATATATGTGTTCATGTCAGTACCAGTACAATAACTATAGCCTTTAAAAGGACTTTATGTTTATTTGTGTGTGTTTGTTTAGCTGGTGTTGGTGTTAATATTATATCATCAGTTGTGTTTGTTATAGAAAAATGAAAATCCTATTTGCTAGAGGTCCAGGGTAAGACCATTGCTAAAATCACTGCTCCGGGTTAATATATTATGTGCATGGCTTCCGATTCCAATAGTTAGAGAATATTTCATTATTTCGGGAACTGCAAATAATGTGTACCATCAGAAATGTCAGGTTTCAGGTAATGTACAGCGTCTGACTTCAGACTCAGCAGTGCAAAAGATGCTGAGCCTTAATTATGTTAACTAAAACCTGTCTTCTATTATAGTCCATATAATAAACTTGTTCTCACTAGTGAAGAACAAAAGGGATGTTCAAGTGAAAATTGACAGGCAACATGGGTAAGAGAGAGAACTCATTGTCATAAAATATTGAGACAAGGATCTTAGCAGAATTAGAGTAATGGTTAATATATCTTTTATGTGGAAAACATACATAGTATCTTGGTAAAACTTAAAAAGATTTGAGAGCATGAGGATTTTTCTCAGAATATAAAATAGCCCATATTTATAGGGATTTAGAAGAACTTTCCCTGTGGGTAAGCTATTACTTAATTGAATTCTTTAGGGCTTTTTGTACCTTCCATGGAAATGTATGGTATTTGCCACTATTACAGATAGGATAAGGAACTAGAGGACTGGACCAGTGATTTAATCCTCTGTGACACTGCATATATTTCTGTTGCTGCTGCTTTACTCCATTAGAGCTGAAGAAAAGGTTAACAGTTTCCTTTTGTTCTGGATTTCAGCTTTTGTGTGTCATGATAGTGGGGCAACTGTACTAGCATATGCTCCAAAACATCAGCTTTTATTATCAGGCGGCAGAAAAGGATTTACCTGTGTACTTGATCTTCGACAAAAGCAACAACGACAGCTTTTCCAGAGTCATGATTCTCCAATTAAAGCAATTGCGGTGGATCCTACAGAAGAATATTTTGTTACAGGATCTGCAGAGGGCAACATAAAGGTAATTTAATTTTACCTTAGTAGAGGAAGGTATAATTCCATTCTAGATATTTGGATTAATTCAAATTATTCTGCCAGATACTCAACCAGAATTTTGCTTTGGCAAGCCAAGTGGCTTATCTGTTATGTCTCAACTTCTGTCATCCTTTGTTCAACCTTAACTTTTTGCATTACCTTATTAGTGCTTAACTGGACAACCTTGATTTTTACCTTAATGTTGTCTTCATATTCAAATAAGAAGTACTACTTTTAATATAAATAATTTGAAAAGGAAAAGAGGTGGTACACTGTTGCTGTCTGACAAAATAATGATCAAGCCAAGTAGTCTGGTTTTTCATTAATGAATGAATATTATGAGTAAGTTTGGAGTACCTAAGCATTACTAACATAACAAGATTAATAATGTTATAACATTTTTCAGGTATGGAGTTTATCCACCTTTAATCTTCTCCATACATTTGTCAATGAGCATGCTCGACAGTCCATCTTCAGAAACATTGGGACAGGAGTCATGCAAATTGAAACTGGACCAGCAAATCACATATTCTCCTGTGGAGCTGATGGGACAGTAAAGATGAGAATCTTGCCTGATCGATTTAGCCCATTTAATGAAGTGTTAAAAAATGATGTGAAACTAATGCTGTAATGTTTTTGTCAATACTGTATATAACTTTTCAGAAAATATTTTCCATGGAAGTGGCCAACAAATGTAATGTACAATGAAATCTGGTGCCACAAAAAATTGATTTTATGTTAATATTTATTTTCTGAAGCTTTAGTCCCTGATGCACTGATGCCTTAAAGATTAACAGGCTCCTTCAGACTTTGATTTATATTGCCTAAAGTAGAAACTATAAATGACTCTGTAAAATTATATATATATATATATATACACATACATATATATTTATAATATACTGAAGATGTTACTGAAGTGTTTCACTTTTTTCCTTTTGTGATAACCTCCACTCAATGCCTTCAAGCACAATGTCTTCTCATACATGACACCAGTCTTCTCTGAAGCCAGGTCCGAAGGGAACCCTTACATTACATGTCCCTTTATTGTGGCAACCATAAAAGCTTCTCTAGATATTTCACCTTCACTTTAACTCCTAGTCAACTGGAGTAAGTATTTGCACCTTTTTGACTGGGAATTCAACAAATCTGTTTGGGAAGAAAATACTCATGATACACCAGGGACTAGCCACACAGAGGTGTTCATATGATGAACCACTATCGCACTCCCGGTCCTGGAATCCAGGCTTCTTGCCCTGTTCTTTCCTTTGACTTAGGGTAGAAGAAACTGAAGGATATTCTGTAATTTTTCTATGTGATAGCTTGAATCACTGCCATCAGGATGGCAGACTTATCTTTTTAAAAGTCTATTTTTAACCCTGAAACACTCCCTTTCAAAAATACTGTAAATATTATGTGGATATCTTCCTAATAAAAATATTTAAAGATGATGTGTGTGAAGCTTTCGTCTTGAACAAACTAACTATGTGAAGGTATTGATCAGAATAAGGAATTTAGATTTTTTTTCTTTAAAGTGTATTTATTTCAGCACCTGTAAAGAGAAAACAACTAAAAAAATTAATTTTTTCCAGTGACTTTATTTTAACCCAAAGATACTGAACTTGTTGCCAGCACTTAACTTTGTTTTCGTCTAATTTTATTTTTTTTTAAATAAGCAACAAAATACTTTACTGCTTCAGTTGTATAAAATATACTCTAGATTTACATATGATATAAACAATAAAGAATATATATATTGAAGTAAGAGGGTGTCTAGGCTTTATTTGCCAAATGTAAAATTGCATAAATGTTTGACCAAAATATTAAAGGCACAAAACCTTTTAAAACTTAAAAAATAGCTAAAGCTATTTCTGTGACTATTTTGAGTTCTGCTTTTTGTGATTTATTTAAAAATGTAAAAAGCTTGATAAATGCTTGATTTATAAACTGGGTATGAAGCTGACTCTGGTTACTTGAATGCAAATGGTGTAAGTTTTTGCACAAAGGTATTTTGTGAAATAAATATGACAAACAACTATTTAATGTAAAATAAACTCTCAGATTGAGGCCTATGGGCTTAAATAAAGCATAGAAATGAAGGGCTTACAAAATGAACTTTGTAATATTCTCAGGATACTTTTATCTTCGGAGTATAATTGTGTAACAAGATTTTGTAAATTGAATTACGATGATTTTAAATGTGTATTGAGCAAGTTGCAGTGCAAACATTAAGTCGAGGGTTTTTATGCACATGACCTGAACTTACAAATTTGTGCAATAACAAAATGTGAATATTTTTGCCATGGATAGACCTGTGACAGCATTTCAAAAAAAATAATACAGCTACTTCCATAATAATGTTTTTAATTTCTTCCTCAATGTTCTGTTCCTGGATTGAGACCAAGTACAGTAAAAGACCAGAAAACTCACGGTCTAAAAATGGCAAAGCTTTATTGACAACAGATCTGCTCAATGTGTGTATTGTATCTGCTTATTGGCTGTGTTTGTAATGCTGCTTATCATTAGTAAGGTAACAAAATTTAGCTAAAATCCTATACTTTCTATAATTATATGCATTAATTTATGCACCCATTGAAGTCACTAAAATTACCATCATGCAACAGAAGCACTTCAGTATTTGCAAGATCATAACCTGTCTTTATTTTGCAGAACTCGTATTGATGTTCAAGCCATAATATAACTTGACTTTCCAATTCCCAGCTTGGTTTAATACACTGGTAGTTGGGGAAAATCCTCATTTCACTTGGAAACTGAGCAGATTTGATATGTGGATGTCATCAAAATGTAAACCTCACTGTCATACTAGTCAATTTTCTAAGTAGAACTGCACTTTAAACATTTACTTGGCAAATTTATGTGCTTATACCAGAAGAGCAATGTCGGGGAATAATTAAGTGTTGTTTATAGTTAACATAAGCTACTATTAAAATGATGTAATATCATGATGTATTTACCGCACATCCGTAATCTTTAAAATAAATGGTCATGCGGACTCAACCTTCTAGAACACCATTGTTGCTACTACTTCATTTATCAGTTGTTTCCTGTTGTATAAGGTTTCTTGATATTTGACAGTTTTGATGAGTTAATTTTACTAATCTTACTTTTCTTGTGGTAGTAATGAAGTACTTGTAAGTTATCTTTTTCTTGTACCTGTGCCTTTTTAAAGAGACACTGTGAACTTAAAATCTAGTCAATAAAAAGTGTAGTTATTCCAGATATTGCAGTTAACCTTGATGATCCACTCCCACACCATTTTGTTGCATTTTAACAACCACGTTCTGCTGTTTGTTCTCTCCCCTGCTGCTTTGAGACCCAAGCAAATAGTGACATTAACTGAATGTTGTCTAAATTGGTTGATAGGAAGAATCAACTCAGGATGACTGAAGTAGTAGTTGCCCATCTTGTTCCAGTTTGTGTCCTTTCTGTACTCTACAAATAATTTGAGGTACAAGTGAGCAAGTGACCAAAAGTGGGTTTACATAACCAGTGATAGTTTACTTTTGATCCCTTGATAAAGAATAAAAATAGATTTTCATTGAAAAGAAGTAAAGGTTCTCACATGTATCCAAGATGGATTGTAGAAAATTTCTATTGGTAAAAGATCTGACCTGAATGGATACAGATTCTCTTCAGAGGTTAACTGAAAATGTAATACATTAGGACAGAAAGATACTTTGAATTGTAGAATAAAATTAAAATCCAGTTTTAGCTATCTTTTATAAGGATATGCCTACTGCTTGGAAAAAAAAGAATAGTCCCCAGTTGGGAAGAATGTACTCAAATCTGTTGGGGTTTTTTTGTTGGTATTATGACCTGCTGTTCCCTTAAGTATCAGTGTATGATGCCTATGTAAAGTTTGTACAGTTTAGAATGGTTCTCTGAAAAGTGGTATTGTGGGATTTTTGTTCTTTGCTCATCTCAATTTCTGTATCAATGTGTCTTTTGTACAAAAAATTAGTATAATAATCAGGACAACCTAATATGCAAGTCAGTTTTTTTTCCCTTGTCTGCAGATCAAATTCTGTCTTTGGGTGCACCTAAGAATCCCACATTAATTTAGTTGGGCTGGCAGATGTGCACATAAAATTAATTTAATTAATGATGTGGAATCTCGCTGTAACACTATAGCATAGACCCCCCCCAACTATGTATGTCTGTTCTTCTCAGAGCATTATTACCTTGTCTTTTGAGGGAAGGAGGATACCAATACAGCTGTTTAATTCAGTGAGTGTCATTTTTTTCCCAAAGAAAAGATGTAGTAAACATTCTTTACATCTTATGCAACAGTATTAGGAGTGGTTAAATATTTTTGATGGAAACTTTTGTACAATTTCATTTTCCTTCAAAATGTTGTGGTTATTATGGGTATTACAATAGTACCCAATTGCTTCGATCATGCATCCAGGACCCTGTTTTGCTGGACGGTGTCCACATGCAACAAAATGATTCTCTGTCAGTGACTAAGTAGAAAATTTGACTAATTTTTTTTAAGGTTTTATGTAGCTGTAGATAAGTGTAGCAGTAAGCTTAACTTTCTTTAACCTAGGGTTTTAAAGATGTGGACTGTGGGCTGAATCTGGCCTATGGAACTCATCACCCAGTCCCTGGTGCTGCCCCTGGGTCCAAGTTTACCCAGATGCTGGACCAGCCCCACACATGGGGCCCACTCCAGGATCCACACAGTGTCTGCCCCAGCTGCTCTGGGATATGCACCACCTGTGACAGCTGGTCTGCAATCTCTGCTGCATGCACAGTGCAGAGCCAGAAGAGTTTGACACTCCTGCTTTAACCTATTACATACCAAGTTTAGAACCCTGTAATTCTGAAGGTAATTGTTTTTTCACTTGCAACCAAATCAAGTTTGTTTCCCTCGTATTTTCAATTATGAATAAAGTGTCCATCCCTGAACTGGACATGCCAAAAAGTGTCTCTGATTTGCTGCAACTTAAGTAACAAAAGTCAATTTAAGTTTAACTTTAGGAACTTGGAGCCAGTCTTCTAAGTGGGGAGATGACAAGCATAGTAACACCTCTTTTCCCTTAGTTAAGATACTAGTTGACTCTACCTATAAAGCCTGTTGCTTGAGTAAAAACAGTTTTCTTACTATGGGAAGTGTGTACATAGTTCATTCTTCTTCTTTCAAAGATGAATGAATCATAACAGTGCAATGTGCTTCTACACGTGGGAGAAAAACTAAAGCCTCCATCAATGCTTGCCAAACATTTCAACATTACTGGTGGGTGGATAATTTTTTAGTAACCAATAACCTGAACAGGTGTTTGCACCACTGACCAGCAGATGGTACTTAGGGATGGTTAAAGCACAATTAACTGTTAAATAGAACATGAAATACAAACACAAACAACTCGGTGTCCTAAACTCAAAGTCTAATTTTATTAGTATAACAAGTATTATCTTAGCAGTTTCTATATTCAGAGAGAGAAAAACTTAGTACAATAACTTCACCCAATCCCAGATGTTACTTTGCTTCACAGAAAAGACGGCCATTCAGTTCTTAAAGCAAAGGGTGTCATTGGCTGGGATGATCCAGACAGCTGTTGAAAGCTGGATTCATGATGTAAATGATGATGATGACGCACTTAACTTTCTTGCTTCCCCTTGTATGCTTTTCTTTAACTTGACTCCTTGCTTTCAGATTGGTCTCTTTGCAGTCAGCCTATTGTCCATATTTTATCCTTTTGGCGTATTCCTTTGTTCAACAGACCTATTACGAGCACACAAGCATGCTTTAATTTGGCCTTTTTCCAGTGTCTTTCTTTAAGCATTGTCCATTGGTTGTCTTTATCACCTTTCATTAACTTATCCAATCATTTCATCCTCCTCATTAGTACCAAGTTCAATTACTTTGAGCTAGTAATAAAACTATTACTGTTGTGTTAGAAAAACTTCTCCCAGTGATAGAACAAGGAAAGAAACATGAGCTTGGATAGACTGAACAGTCCACAAGGGCACAAAATCCATAAAATCACAACCACTAACTGATGAAATATTACAAAAACATTGATTGACAGAAAACAATGAAATATAACATTTTTGGTTAATCAAGATATATTAACAACTTTAACAACATTAATAGTGGTATCTAAATTCCAAACAAACAAAATGAAACGGACAAAACAATTGTAGCAGCTGAGCCGTGGTTGAGATCAGGGTCACCAGAGATTTCCCTCTCACAACACCTGAGCCTCTGGGTCCATTCACCACCACCACCATTGGATCAAATTTTTACACTGGTTTCTGCAAAAGAAAATAAACTTGTTGAGGAAAATTCCTTGCAGTAGGATATTTATATTTACGGTGCTGACATGCACAGTGGCAATATGCACAGTACTGCAATTTTTGAGGTATGTCTTTTATAGTCTTCTATCCTTTTTTTTTTTTTTTTTTTTTTTTTTTTTTTTTTTTTTTTTTTTTTTTT